TTTACGTAATTTTACATAATTGTACACTAAGTTTACGTATATATATGGTCTTTATATAATGTACAGAAAATTGGATGGCAAGATCGTGATTGTAACCGGCGGAGCCAGTGGGATTGGAGCCGAAGCTGCTAAGCTGTTCACTGACCACGGAGCTAAGGTGGTCATCGTTGACATACAAGAAGAGCTTGGTCAAAACGTCGCCGTTTCGATCGGTCAAGACAAAGCAAGTTTTTACCGTTGCGATATCACAAACGAAACGGAAGTGGAGAACGCCGTTAAGTTCACCGTCGAAAAACACGGTAAGCTAGACGTTATGTTTAGTAACGCTGGCGTTATGGAGATGCCGGGAAGTTTCCTCGACTTGGATCTCGAAAAGTTTGACCGAACGATGGCGGTCAACGTTCGTGGCGCAGCTGCGTGTATCAAACACGCAGCGCGTGCGATGGTGGAGAAAGGCAAGCGCGGGTCAATCGTGTGTACAACTAGCATTGCCGCGGAGATCGCTGGTCCGGGACCTCACGCGTACACTGCGTTTAAACACGCGCTTCTCGGGCTGGTTAAGTCCGCGTGTAGCGAGCTTNGGAAGTACGGGATTAGAGTTAACGGAGTTGCACCGTACGCGGTGGCTACGGGTCTTAATAGCCATGACGAGGAAACGGTGAAGATGGTGGAGGGATATTGCGCCGCCACGGGGATTCTCAAGGGTGTTGTGCTTAAGGCTCGCCACGTGGCAGAAGCGGCTCTGTTCCTGGCTTCGGATGATTCCGCTTACGTTAGTGGCCAGAACCTAGCCGTTGACGGTGGTTTCAGCGTCGTTAAGCCAATGGCCATGTGAAGAAGTTGAAAAAATGATGGGTCAAATAAAATGGTATTAATGAATAGTACCAATAGTATTGTATTTCGGGTTTTTTTTTTACTGTCTTGCACCATGTAATGCGTACTACGTAAGCACTTACGCGTGTTAAGTAAGTTTAAATAAAATAAGGGTAACGTTATTATATTTAGATCTTGGGATTTTATTTCATTTTTACTAACCACGTATGGAGCCGTATAAAACCGTGGAAAAACATGTGATGTGTGTGTAGAAACATTGCAATTTGCAGATGTTGTACCATGTGGAGGGACTTTTATGTGCTTAATTATAACAATCTCACATGGTTAAAATTGTAATCTTTATTTGCTACTTAAGTGATTCAGGTTAACCTTTTTCTTCAATGGTAGTCACGAAAAAAAAAATATATATAATAACATGGCTTTTGTGGTGTTATTCTTAAGGATGCATATAGTTTTCATAGATCGTTACAATGTATTTTCACCATTTCAAGATCGTGTGTATGTCTATATGTACGCAGTTATGTTCAGTTATATCTTGTAAAAAAAATAATGAAATCATTATTCAACTATATATATATATATACCTTGGACTCTACTCTTGGAACCTTAAGACAGTTTGGTACCATGAGTTTTTTGGGGTTTTGTTTGAATATTACATTTGATCAGTTCAATTTCTTTCCTTTCAAATTCATGAATATGTGAAATGCATCTATATTTTACCTAACTGTCAATTCACACGAGTACCAAACGGTCATAACACAAAACTCTCAGTTTCTAAAATCAAAGAAACCAACCAACTAATAATTTTTCATCATCAGTAGTAAATCATGGTATCGGTCGTTTACTGGTGCCATTTCATATGCTTCGGTATAGTTTTGGCTACAATCTTTGTGTCCTTGTGGTTTCTAATTCGCAGAGAAAGAGGCTGCATAGACACCGAAGATACGGAGTACAATAGCTTGTTGTCGTCTAGATCAGAGAGCCTTGGTTCGGCTCGATTATGGACCAGTTGCTGGAGAGGGTTACATCCTGGCTGGCTGCTCTTAACTCGTTCCATCTCTCTTGTCTCAATGGCTGCTTTATTGGCTTGGGACGTCTTGATGTGGGATGCAAGCATCTTCGTCTATTACACCGAGTGAACTTTCTTCTTTAACGCTTTAACCTATATTCTGATTGTATTCCAACCCGAATTGTTCATCTTTCGACTTGTGTTGTTTTGTAACAGATGGACCTTCATGCTAGTGATGATCTACTTTGCGGTATGTTGTAGGAGCTTAACACATTTTGAATAGGAGTAGGAGTATTAAATCAGGATTTTGTTTATCCTCATGGGTTTCTCTGTAGATGGGGACTGTTGCTTCTGCATATGGTTGCTTGAAGTATTCCAAAGAGCTAGTAATGGAAGATGGTGAAAATACGGTTGTAGTCAAGGTCGGAGATGAATTCAGGCAGAGATTCCGGGTTTATGGTTGTTTCATGCAGACAATTTTTCAGGTTAGTGTCAACAAAGAGAGATACAGAGTTTGATTTTTACACATTCATACACAAATTCAGGTGCGTGTTTGTGATGCAGACAAGTGCAGGGGCTGTGGTGCTCACGGATATAGTGTTTTGGCTAGTTATAGTTCCTTTCCTATCGAATACTCACCTCGGCTTGAACATGGTAAGATCATTCATTGAACCTCTCTGCTTAAAAACCGACTAAATGTGCAACAAACTTATCGGATTTATGTTTGAGCAGCTGATGATATGCATGCACTCAGCAAATGCTGGTTTCCTCCTGCTCGACACAGTACTCAATAGCCTTGTAAGCAATCAAAACTAATCAGAAAAAGATCTAAAGAAAGAGCTGATACATTTGAATTTGTTCATGTTTCAGCGGTTCCCTTTGTTTCGAATGGGATATTTTGTGCTATGGAGTTGCCTCTATATTATCTTCCAATGGATCATCCACGCATGTGGCTTCACTTGGTAAGCACTAACGATCTACATTGATCCTACAACAGAACCTAATCAAAGCAAGCATTACAATACATTGTAACCTATCTATTCTCAGGTGGCCATATCCGTTCCTCGAACTCGATAAGCCATTAGCTCCACTGTGGTAAGCATCTACCTTTACGACTCTAAGACACCGATTTCTTGAACTTTGATAGGTTTGTAATCGTCTTACTAATGAAGAAAACAACACATTCTCAGGTACTTATGCATGGCAATCGCACACATCCCTTGCTATGGAGCTTATGCCGCAATTGTAAAAGCCAAGAACTCGTGCTTTCCCTGTCTATTCCCAAATGCTTTTGTTAAACCCTAATCCTAACAACTCCATAGCAACATTCCACAATTCTAATCTTTGTATTTGATTGTGTTATATATCAATCATGCAATGGTGAAATAAGTAGTGAAATACTATCAAAATGAACCAAGCATAAACGAAGAACCAGAGCACAATATCCATAGAAAAAGACCTAAAAGGTACGAAATCCAGAACCAAAGATGTTCAACATAAGATCCATAAACATAAAGAAGCACTTCAAAAATTCAAAAATAGTACTCAATTCATAGAGATAGAGAGATCTAAGCTTTATTCCTCGCCTCCTTCTTTCTGGTAAACGTAAGTGAGACCACACTTACCACAGTAATGACGATCGAAATGACTCGCCATGAAAGTCCCAGCACCACAAGTCGCGTTAGGGCACTCCTTCCTCAACCTCTGAACTTTTCCAGATCCATCAACCTTGTAGAACTGAAGAACAGCGAGCTTGACCTTCTTATGCTTGTGCTTGATCTTCTTAGGTTTGGTGTAAGTCTTCTTCTTCCTCTTCTTAGCACCACCACGGAGACGAAGGACAAGGTGAAGCGTCGATTCCTTCTGGATGTTGTAGTCGGCGAGGGTACGTCCGTCTTCGAGCTGCTTTCCGGCGAAAATCAATCGCTGCTGGTCCGGTGGGATTCCTTCCTTGTCCTGGATCTTCGCCTTGACATTGTCGATGGTATCGGAAGATTCGACCTCGAGAGTGATCGTCTTCCCCGTTAGGGTTTTCACGAAGATCTGCATCTTTTGCGACTTACGGCTGAAGAAAATGTTCTCTCTGCTTATATATGGTGAGTGTAAAAAGGCTAGGGTTTTCGAGTATCCGCTTCCGAAATTACGTAACTACCCCTCCTCCTCTGACCAAAACAAAAAAAACAAATGGGCTTCATAAAAGATTGGGCCTGGGCTTGTAAGGTTCAATAGATAAAAAAAAAAGTGGAGATGCGGGGGATCGAACCCCGTGCCTCTCGCATGCAAAGCGAGCGCTCTACCATTTGAGCTACATCCCCGAGTGTTTGTTAAGGATTTGAATTCAGAATATATATAGTCCCTGCTTGTGATTGTCTCAGAAGTTGGACTCGAGAGATAAACAAGAAAGAGTGAGAGACATGGTTGAGAAATGCTTCTTTTGCGAAGAAGATCTGGAATGGGTTGCTTATGGATCTTGTGATCATCGAGGGGTTTGTTCTACTTGCGTTGTTCGTAATCGGGTTCTTCGCAAAGATCTCCGTTGCTACCGATGCACCTACAGATTCAAACTTGTCTACGTTACGAAGGTTAGGGTTTATCGTCAGTTTTGGGAATTCTCTTGATTTCGAATTCGAGTTATATGAAATGAGGGAGAGAAATTTCGAAAATTGAACAAATGGGTATTTCGTTTTGGTGTTCTTGTTGCTGTATACACATGTTTCTGTTGCAATCGTCTCTTACTTTCTTTCGAAATCGGAGTGAAGAGTTGCTTAAGAAAGTCAAGATCGTTGTAATGCATGACTCTGTTTAGAATTTAAGAAATGGGCATCTCTTCTTGAGGAAAAGTGTTTAGAATTTGGTTTAATTTTTGTGATTTGGTGGTCATCTCTGTATCGATGTGTTCTGACTGCTACAGAAAATGGGTATTTTGCTTTGGTGTCCTTGTGCTCTAGATTGCAAAGATACGCATAGCAGCATATGTTTCTTCTGTTGCATTCAAAATTTTTGTGTTTCGTTTCTTACTTTTGTTCTAAATGGGAGTGAAAAGATTCCCCTTTGGTGTATTTGTTTCTATAAATTGCAAGAATACGCATTCCTGTATATGCCTCTGTTGCAAATGCCACCGTTTCTTGAGGAAAAGTGTTTTAGAATTTGGTTTACGTTTTGTGATTTGGTACAGCTTTCTGATGTGTTCTTTCTGCTACAGCTTTCGTCTGATATTCCCAGGAGGTGGACTGAGGGCCAAATAGGACCTTACTGGTATCATGAAAAGTCCAAAGCCCTCTTTAATGACTTTGACGAGTACACAAGGATCAGAGAGATGTGCAGATTCGTGTGCACTTCTTGTAACGAGACAAACTTTGAGTGCATTGGACAGTTGATGACTCACTTATACGAGCGGCACAGATTGTATATGTGCACTGCATGTCTTGTATATTGTTCGGTGAGAAATCTAAACATATTTTGTTTTCAAACGATTTTGTTTCACCACTTTGCTAATGCTTGTTTATTCTCTTTTGCATTTGCATATGACAGCGATTCGTTGGTGAGCAAAAGCTGTTTACTAAGGCACAGCTGAACCAGCATATAAGAACGGGGGACTCTGAAGCGGATGGATCTGTGATTGAAAGGGCAGGCTTCACTGGTCATCCTAAGTGTGAACTCTGTAGGAATCCATTCTATGGGGACGAGGAGGTATTCGTTCATATCTGGAGAGTTTCCTCCTGCCGATGTCATATATGCAATCGGTAATGCACTTTATACTTACATAGTTACAATTTGATTCACATTAGGGTTTGTAATACCAACAAGTTTTGTTTTCTTCCATCCAGGCTACGTCCGGGGATTCCTGACAATGATGTGGAGGTATGTATGAATATACCTTGATGGGTTATACCATGGCTGCACAGGTTCTGAATCTTAACTGTATATGTTTGTTACCTGCATTGCAACAGGATCACTTCCTCGTGGAGCATATCGATTCTGAAGACGGCTATTGGTTTGCTCCTTTCTCTATCATAAGAGCTTTCGACGACCAAGCACACTTGAACGTAACACTCTTCTACTTTTTTTTCCTCTATGTTTGTTACATTCTGCTTTATGGTGACACAACCATGTTTTCAGTTGCATAACGCTCATGTGCATTATACTACTGAGGCACCATTACATGTTCAATATGGGAGGAGTTCTTGGTTTGCACCTGGCGGAGTATCAACAAGCGGATGCCAAACAGAATTAGGACAAAACTCAGGGAGTGTAGTGAGTTACACCGTGGCTGCTCCTTCAAGAAATCAAACAGATATAAGTGTAACTACAACTAGTTCCTCTCGAACAAACCAAGGCCTGATACAATCATTCATTTCTGCTTTGGAGCCTGTTCAATCTTCGAGTGCTTATGCTGAATCTAGTCACCATGCCAGAGTTGGAATGACTGGAACTCGTGCTCATGCTTCTTCACTGTATACTCAGTCATCTCCAACACCGGAAGAAATTCATGATACAAGAGCACTGGAGGAGCCTTCTCTTTCTATTTCTCCCCAAGCTTCAGCTGCTCAAAATCGCAGTTTGCCATCTTCCTCAAGAAGCGAGAACAAGGCTTTGAGTGAAAAAATATGTGATCGTCTTTTCAAGTCCTTGAAGAAAACATCAGGAAAGTACCGCCATGGTTTGATCGATGCAAGAAGTTACTTGGAGTATTTGAAGAATCATGGTTTGTCTGACTTGGTTCTGGATGTGGCTAGTTTCTGCCCTGACCGAGCGAGACGTGTGGAACTCATTGAAACCTACCTTGCCAGTGTGAGAGAAAGAGTTGATACGGTGGTTAGCTCTGATGGTTCTGAGGACGAAGACAGTGATTGATGCAATATAGCGATATCCAAAGACAAGGATGCATAGAAAGGTTATGATACAAATACATATAGGAAAGGAAGTTTTAAATAGAAGATTTTGTACAAATGCAGTCTGAATTCAGAGAGAGTAGACAGATTAATAGTTCATTGCAACGAAAGTTGTAAATAGAAAAAATTTGTACAGAGATGTTTGAATACAGAGAGACTAAAGGCAAATTGATAGACGATAGTCATGTAAGCTTCCAAGTGAATATTATTGGGCCTAGGACTAAGCCCATTATCATTTAAAACGCTTTTTAAAACAAAAAGATGGAGATGCGGGGGATCGAACCCCGTGCCTCTCGCATGCAAAGCGAGCGCTCTACCATCTGAGCTACATCCCCATTTTTGTTCTTTTATTACTGATTTAGCAATTTTATTAGAATGTTTTTTTTTGTGTTCGTCTCTTCCAAAATCGTACCTTTTCTTTCTTCGTCAAGCCCCATTCATCTCTCATACATTTCTCACTTTGTAATCTCTGGGTTTTCTTCCTTCTTCGTGTTGTTGCGTCAACGGAGTTTCTCTCCAGAAGAAATGGATGATAGTTGCGCCGTTTGCGCAGAGAATCTCGAATGGGTTGCTTACGGATCTTGTAGTCACAGAGAGGTTTGTTCTACTTGCGTCGTTCGTCTCCGTTTCATATTCGGCGATCGTCGTTGTTGTATCTGCAAAACCGAATGTCCCGTCGTCTTCGTTACAAAGGTTAGGGCTTTTCTTCAATTTTCTCTATCTCTTCATTGTCGAACCCTTTTTGCTTTAAATCGCTTAAAATACCCAGAAATGTGTGTAAGATAGTGAGAATCTGAAACTTGTAAATCTGTTTGAAATTTCTGGAATTTTGGGTTACATTTACACTATCTCTGCTCTTTTCCGTTGCAGGCTTTGGGTGATTCTACGAAGACAATTACGGATTTCTCGACTTTACCAACAGTACCAAAGGAAGGTCGAGTAGGGTCTTTATGGTATCATGAAGAAACCAAAGTTTTCTTTGATGATTTGAACCAGTACACAAAGATTAAGGCAATGTGTAGACTCTCGTGTACTTTGTGTGACAAGACTAAGAAGAGCCAAACAAAGGAAGGATCTAAGAATCGTTTGCGGTTTAAGAGTGTTGAACACTTGAAGGATCATTTGAATCATCAGCATAGATTGCATATGTGCAGTTTATGTCTTGTGGGTCGTAAGGTTAGGATTTGAAGTTTTACCATCTTAGGTCTAAGATTTGTGTTAAACATATCTCATGATTCAAGCTTATGCTTTGTTTTATGATAGGTATTTATTTGTGAGCAAAAGCTATTTACTAAAGTACAGTTGATTCAACATATAAGTAGCGGTGACTCAGAAGTGGATGGTAGTGAGAGTGAAAGAGGAGGTTTCACTGGTCATCCTATGTGTGAGTTCTGTAAGAGTCCATTCTATGGTGGCAATGAGCTATACACTCATATGTCTAGAGAGCACTACACTTGTCATATTTGCCAAAGGTAAATCATATTTGTGTTTATGAAACTTA